AGCAGTTCTGTATTATATTATTACGTGGCCAACAATAACAATATAAAAACAGTATCTAATTATTTAATAAGCAAGGTAGCAGTATCTGAAGCTGAGGCATTAACTTATAAAGCACACAACACACCAACACGGATCTTAAAACGAAACAAAAGTTTATTGCTACTCTATAACACAAAGTACTAATCTACGTAAAACAAACAAACGCACATACATACACACACGCACAAGCAGTTTGAGGAGAGTTTTGACTGAGTGGATTTAACTTCTAGCCTTTGCTAAGTTCTTAGCATTGCAACCTGAGAGAAACCATAAAAGCAGAGAATTTCGCTATTCTTTACTACTTAAACATAATTCACACCAGAGTCAGCAATGGATAGAAACCTTGTTTGTGCTACTTGCGTTCTGATGTAATTTGGTTTCCTCTACTGGTCCAAAGGGAAATCCCGGCGAAGCTGATTGGTCAGCGTAGCAACTTCAGTGACGTGATGGAATTCCCTTGTCGGTGAAGAGGGGTTTCCTTAGTCGGTTGCTAGGGATATAGATGTTGGACAAAGCGGCGTTCGAAGTCCTTCCTGGGTTCCTGTAGTTAGGATGAGTTTCAGAGTTTGGATGTGTTGACCCGATGGCTTGTTGTTGAAGCGGTTGCACAAGCAGATCGGGGGTCGAGCCGGCAGCAAGTGAAGGTCGCGGTCTGCTCCGTGATGTAACGAGGCTTCCGGCGAGGCGATGTAACGGCCACAGCACGAGAAGAGCGACGTCCGGGCAGCGACGGCGGTGACGACTGGCAAAGATGACCGGCAAAAGCCGACGATGAAATTCTTTTGTTCAAAGTTTTATAGGCTTTGGTAGAGGCTGGGTCTACACAATACTTGTCCAATCAGAGAAGGTGCGGGGTGGAGTCACACCCCAATTCTGCCCTCTAGGAGGCCGGGTTGACACCTGGTGTGGGTGCTGCTTTGATAGCATAGTGGTTAAAATAAAGTCTTATAACGTCAACACTTTTCATAGTATGGTTTCTTTATATAAACCAATGCATTCGAAATGTTCCTAGCTTTCAATCGATACCAAACATGAAGTATTTCACAAACATTCTGTAGATTTCATTTGTCACTGAGGGCTATTACTCAATAACTATCCATAACAGTTTTGTTAAACACATGGAACATGTACACACAAAAACCTACAGAAACATAAAGCAAACGTACATTACTCAAATAAACTGTTTTACTTAAATGTCCATTAAACTTTGGAAGCGTTTCTGATCGCTTCTGTGTCTGCCTGAGAATGTGTATTCCTTGCAGACGCCAAAGGACAAGCGAACCAAAAGGTACTTCTCAAAAACCGGTTTGGTGGGTTTTTGATTGTAGAGCCTCTTATTGTTTTAGGGTGTAAAGTTAATTAACACGCAACTGTGATGTTGACTGGCTAGGTATCCTGTGGATTTGCCTTTTGCTGGGTGCCTGTGGATTGCTTTGAAAATGAAATCAATCTCAGACTCGTAGGCACCAACCAATCTTTTAAGGATAACATGGTCTGTGGCTTGTTCGGTTCTGGAACGATCCGTTGACTCACTACAAGTGTCACAGTGAGTCTTGCTGACAGCGGCTTGGTAAATGCATTGGTCAAGGCTCGCAAAGTTGTCATTTTAATTAAAATTATATTACAAATAAATAAAAGTATTATTATTATTATAAAACTATTATTATTATGCAAATATTATTTTAAATAAATAACAGAAATCAATCAGCAAAATAAGATCTTATAAAAATATTTTGCATGAATTTTAATTTCACGAGTTTCATGAGAATTCTAGAGAACACAAAATAAAAATGTATAGAATTATCCCTGACTCTGACAGCAGTGAAATAATGATAACCCACTTCTAGCCCAAATAAACCTTAAATTTGGACTTTGTTTCCCCAGCAGGTCCTATTGTGCTGAGACTAGCTTTTTCCCACAATTTCAGTCCTCATAAAACTTGTTTATGGAACAATCATTTTATTTTATTTCGAAATAAGTATTTATTTTAGGATTTATATTTTTCTTTATTGGATAGGAAGGATAGCCATGGTGACATTCTTAATTCCAAAAACTTCTGCTTAAAACATGTTTTTTTTTTTTTTTTTTTGTCATTCTAAAGAGTTTTACACAATTGTTAATGTTATTCCTAAAAACATCATAGTATTGATCAGAGGTTTTCTTTTACACTATCCTGTAATGTTTTCTCTTTCATCTCTGTTTTTGGTCAATTTATGTTTTAGAGATCCAAAATGTAGTAAGTTTTTAAGGATTTTTTTTATTTAAAGGCTTAATCCTAAGCAGCTCAGACCTCATTTCATTTTTAAAGATTTTAATTCACAGGAATTAGAAAAAATAAAAACAAGTTACATTTCTTATCCAATTCTGCCCAAAATTAAAGAGCTTCAGTTTAAAATGATTAATGATGTGTACCCAATAAAATAATTTCTGAGATTAATATTTAATACTGAGGATAACTTTTGTCAACTTTGTGAAAGTTATATTGAAAACACTGAGCATATTTTCAATTGCATATACTCATGTACATTACAGAATTTGGTAAAAGTAAAGAGAAATTGTACACAGCATTACCTGGTTAATAACCTTTTTAGCTTTATAAAATTGTTCATTCATAAATGAAGTGCTTCAGTAGTCTGTTGAGTACTGGAATTACAACAAATTACTCATGTTCTCATTCACAATAGTGACACTGGGTTTCCCATACAACACTTTATTTGTAGTAATGTGGGAGTTTTCACATGAACATATATTTTAGGGCAACCATGTATAGAAAGTGTAACTGTCTCCATGAAGAAAACTTGTTTCTTTTCTCAAATCAGTCCATCAAAATAAACTTGTAGTGTTCTGAAACCAGTCTTCATTTGTTACCCACAACACATCAAGATTTGATCAAGTCAAAATCTCATAATCTGACACAAATCTGATCTGTCGTAACAGGCAAATGGCATTGTGTAGTCTGAACAGGGCTTTAGGGAGTCTGCTTCAGTTGCTCACAGTCATTGCCTTATGGCAAGTTTACACCGCACAAGTTTAGGCGGACTTTCATTCGCCAACAAGTTTAGTGAGACTGCAGACAAAAGCCCAAAACTTGAGGCAAATGGTTGTTTGTTCACACGAGTGAAATCCGACAATGTGAAGGATCGAAAACACAATCTAAAGCTATACTTTCACCTGGCACCACATCGCACACCTCCTCTGACTGCTCGCGCACCTCAACAAGGCTTTTATACTCACCGCATTCTTTGTTGTGATATTCTTTAAAACGACAGGGGGTGGTCAAAAGAATCTGACCATGAAGTCAGATGAATAAACAAAGAAGTAGAAAATTTCCGGAACTACGTCATATCATTACCATCATTCAAGATTTTTAAGCTAATTATTTTTATTGTTTTTATAAGTTATTTTAATTATTATAAGCATTTTTAGAACCATTCAAGATTTTTTAATCAAACTTTGATGCATCACTTTCTTTTGTTCATATCTCAGACAGTTTTACCTATTGAAGTTTATTAAAATATTAATGACAAGAGAACATGGGCTGCTCAACAAATATATTTTATTATGGCAAGAATAAAAGCAAAAAAGTACACTTACTAAAAAGTACATGTTTTTTTTAGATTTAGCCCACTCCACAATTCACACATTACTGTCTGGCTAGTTTCTGTCCTATACTTATGCTAAAAAGGCAATAATGGTCCAACACTTCTGACCATGATCACCAATAAAGCCTAGAAAAACATGGCATCAGTGTATTGTAACCCAATAGGGTCAAATATTCCTTTCCAGTTATCAAAAAAATAATTTGTTCCTTAATTATAGTTTTGATATCAAATTGTTTTAAATTCAAAATTGTAACGTATAAATCAGTGTAAAACCTACGACTAATGGAAAAACATATTCTGAAATTATGTGCCAGGGTCTCCACTTTTGCCATGGCCTCTTTGGCTTTAACAAACATCCCTCAGGTTTTTCCAAACTTTTTAACAAAAACTGTCCTCTTTCCCACGGCTGTTGCAATTTCTAGTCAAGAATTATTGGTCATCTGGTGATCTCTATGATCATGGATCATAAGAATGTCTGTGCAGGCGTAAATTTCAGGCAAAATCTCAAATGCGGCACCATTGCGTACTGTTCGCTCATAAAGATGTCTTCAGATGCTATTCAAAGTGATTCATATTCAACTCAAATCAAAATCTGTCACCACGCGCATTGTTTGCATGAGTTTCAAAAAAAAAAAAAACATACACTCCGCCGGCCGAAATTATGCTGCACGCACTCAAAGCAAACCTCCGCAAACTCCGCGATGACATCACATTTGCTGCACGCACTCAAGCAAACAAGCAGACGCATCAAGTATAACCCGGGCTTAAGCGTGTAGGACAGTGTTCCCTGCATCTCCCTAAACACTTTCTCCTCCCTAATCTTTCTAATTCTATATTCAGAGCCGAAAATTTGTTTGAAGTGTGCAATTTGCACAAAATAAAATAATCAGTTCATAATAACTTGAAACACATATAAAGATATTTAACTTTTTATGCAGCCTGGTAGAAACTCTCACAACCTGGTACATCTTTACCCCTCTTCATTATTGAGTTTAAACCTCCAGGTGTTCCAAGGGTTTCATCATCAGTAACTTGATATGTATTCAAGAGTTCACACTTGTTTGACATGCTGTCCTGGGAGAGAGCCCCAAGCTTCGCTGGACAAGGCCTCATTTTCGCTCTCCATTGTGAAGCTTCATGTGAGTGCTGAGACTTCTTTTACATTTAAAGCCCTTTCCACACTCACTGCATCTAAAACGATCCTCTCCTGAGTGAGTCTTCATGTGTTGCTTCATAGAGTCTTTGCGTGTGAAGGTCTTTGCACACTTATCACATGTGAACACTATGGTTCCAGTGTGACCATCCATGTGGTTCATGAAGCTAGCTTTGGTTGTGAAGCTCTTTCCACACTGAGCACATGTAAACGGCTTCTCTCCAGTGTGACTTATCCTGTGGTGTTTGAGTGAGCCTTTATATGGGAAACTTTTACCACACTCTGTGCATGTGTAAGGTTTCTCTCCAGTGTGAATCCTCATGTTGATGTCAAGGTAATGCTTTTGAGAAATACTTTTCCCACACTGTGTGCAGGTAAAAATTCTTTCTTCATTGTGAGTTCTCATGTGGATTTTAAGGGTGACATTTTGCTTAAAACTCTTTCCACACTGAGAGCAAGAGTAAGGCTTCTCCCCAGTGTGAATTCTCATGTGCACTGCCAAGTTTCCTGTTTTAGAGAAGCTTTTTCCACAATGTTGGCATGTATACTTCCTCTCCCCAGTGTGAATTCTCTGGTGCGCTGCAAAATTTCCTGCATGATAGAAGCTTTTTCCACACTGTTGGCATGTGTACGGCCTCTCTCCAGTGTGAATTCTCATGTGGTTTTTAAAGCCTTGTATATAACCAAACCTCTTTCCACACTGTTTGCAGGTGTAAGGTTTCTCTTTAGTGTGAACTCTCATGTGAATATCAAGGTTTGACTTTTTACCGAAACTCTTTCTACACCGTGTACAGCTGTAATTACTCATAGACTTGGATTTCCGAGGTCTTCCACGTGATGAAGTCTTTTCAGTCAGTTTGGGTTTTTCATCAGTCGTTATTACTTGGTGTTTCTCAAACTGCTGTTTCTCTTCCATTACATTCAGTTGATGAGTCTCTTCTTTCAACACCATAAGGTCTTTAAATGAAAAAAAGTTAACTTTAGTGTGAAGGTTCAAAGCGAGAAGCATGAAATGGATGTTTCACCCAAAAATGAAAATGACCAATTACCATTTACTCTCCATCATGCAGTTTTAAACATTTCCTTTCTTCTGGAACACAAAGAAAACTAGTTTTTCCACAATATCTTTTTTTTTTTTGTGTGTGTTCAGCTGAATCAAGAAACTCATAAAGGTTTAAAACCACACGAGGGAGAGTTAAAGGTGAGGCTATTTTCATTTCTGCATCAACTATCCCTTTACAGGGTTCCTATAATTAACCCTTTTTTTTAACAAAATGTAAAATAAGTCTTTGGTGTTCCCAGAATGTGTCTGAGGTTTCAGCTCAAAATCAGATCATATACCTTGCAGAATATTTCATTTTGGGGGGCAGAGGAAAACCAAGTTTTTTTGTGCCTGTGGCTGTAAATGCAAATGATCAAATGCACTCGCTCTAGATTATTTGTGTTGTGTTCCCTCATGTACATCTTCCACTCGATTAAAAACATTTGTGACTTGCTTGCAAGTACGCATAATACACGCTTATATTAGTGAGGCTGCATTATTGTATTTAAATTATGCTATTGCTTCCCAGTACTGGGTTGCAGCTGGAAGGGCATCCGCTGTTTAAAACATATGCTAGATAAGTTGGTGGTTCAATCCACTGTGGCAACTGCTGATAATTAAAGGTACTGGGCTGAAGGAAAATGAATGAACTTATGCAAATGCTTAATGCCACGTTTGCTGTAAACTGAAGTGATGAGATGGCAAGATGACATACTTTGCTACTTGTTTTCATTCATTTGTACTTTTTCCTTTGTTTTCTTGCCTTTGTGCATGTCCTGAGGCTATGCTGAAGACCTACGTGGTGACAATTTATATACCAGACAATATGCAGAAATGCCATCTAAAAAGGCATTTTTGGATATCTTTTCTGCTGGAGATACTGTTGTCCTAAAAAACTACCACTTGGCGGTTTTATGTGAGATGTGAACACATCTCACATAACACAGTTTGTGTAGCCAACTGGCAACACAGTGCAATAGTGGAACATGCAATATTGCAATGGATTAGCTAGGCAGATAAGACATTCATATATGCAAATATGCATTCCGGCTCACTTTATTGTACAGGCTTATTGCACTTAAACTTTTTTAGGTTCGGCTCTCGAATTAGTAAGGTTATGAGTATATATTATTTAAAAAATTTCGCAAAGCCTGCCATGTAGCCTACAATAACAATAACAGCAAATTACAAAAAATAATAAGACAAGCCTACTTTGGCGTTGCAATAAAATAGTATTAATTATCAAAGAAATAATTTCAATATATAATTAAAATAGGAAAAAATAAAACAAAAACAAATGGTAACCTGTTTTTATAGCAGGGCCCAATGTGTTCTTATTTTTGTTCTGTTAACATTTATTAAAAAGAAAAAAAAACTAAACAATAAAAACACTACTAAGTGATAATAATAATAATAATTATTATTATTATTGTTATTATTATTATTATTAATATAAAGCCCTTGCTCTGAAACAATCATACAAACCAGGTGCTGCTCGGAAATGGCCATCTTTGCTCAGCATCAGGTGCACAGCAGCAAGAAACTTGGCAGTAAACTATGACCTTATTTTAATGACAAAATGTCTAAAAATACTGCTAATTTACATTTTTATTTAATTTATACATGTGCAATGAATGTAAGCCTGCTAACTGTGTGTGGTTCAAATGATAGAATATGTAAACTTTGTTTATATATAATTAAATAATAATAATTAAAAGCCTGCGTGTAAGGCTTTTATTTTGAGGGCGACGTCACGAGCTCAGATTTAGTTTAAATCTATACTGGGTTTACTCCCATCATATCTCCAGAATTATATTTGCAAAAAGCCTGTTCTTAACTATGGTCTTCACTCACAGGATATTTATTTACTCTTTGTCCCTAAAGTGCGGACTGAGATGGGAAAAAAGGCTTTTAAGTACGCAGCACCTTTTGCTTGGAATAATCTGCAAACACAGTTGCAGTTCAAAGACTTGATTTCACTACATGCTTTTAAAAAGTTTTAGAAGTTGAAACAGGTTTGTAGATGTTTTGAATAGATGTCTGTGTGATTCATGTTAAATGTAAATAGTTTTTTGTTTGTTGTCTGTTGGACTCATGTGACTTGTGTACTGCCTAATCTTGGCCAGGACGCTCTTGTAAAAGAGATTTTTAATCTCAATGTGTCTTTCCTGGTAAAATAAAGGTTATAATAATAATAATTGACCAATTAGAGGAAAGTGGGCATTTCAGCACCGCCTACATGTGTAAAATAAATATTAAAGTCGTTTATCCGTTTTCCTACTTTAAACCAAAAAACGAAAATCCAGCCAAAATGTCGTTTTTTCGTTTTCTCGTGAGCAAAAAAAACACGGAAAAACGGCCATTTTTTTCCTTTCCTTTATTCCGTTTAAAAATGGAAAACAAATGAACAAAACGTACACAGTCCATTCTGCTGTGACGACCCCCAATTAATAAAGGGACTAAGCCAAAAAGAAAATGAATGAAAGAATCAGCGTTTCCATTTAATGACTCAAAAAGAACAAAATCGTCACTTCCTGATTAACTGGCGCCAAATCTCAACAGTAAAAACAGAATTTACTGCGGTAGGAGAAGCTACATGAATCTTTTCTGTGTTTAATAAATGACTTTCACCTCAGAGGACAATGTCAGCACACAATAAACATGTGGTGAAGATTTAGCGCATGTTTTTTTATGCCTATATTTCAAAAGTTATGTGCATCATGATGTTTCCATCAACTTTTTTTTACGCTCATAGCCTATCCAATATGCTGTTACGACCTCAAAATGTCTAGGGCTGAAGTCGAACATAAAAATTATAGAGAAAATAAATAAACAGTTAGCAGGTTTGATTTTTAAATGACCTTTAAGGTTCTTTTATTGTGAGAAGGTGGAAAAGGTTTGTATTTACAATAAACAAATAAATGAGCGCAAACAAAAAGCTTCAGGGCTGAGCAAGGCCAAAATAACAAACAAAACATTTACTAACTCCACCCCGAAGATAACTTACCTACTGAATCAAAAATAAATGAAGAAAATAAATTACAAACACTACCCTTACTCCTTAACTAAACGAAAAAACAGGAGAAAATCAGTGTCAAAGTAAATGGCGCTCAGCCCCTACGGCGCTCAGCTCACAGCTTTATCAAACGGTATTTTGACAATCACAAAAATTGGAGGGGAGAGGAAAAAGGGAGAGAACACCTTAATGTTCACAATTCATAAACAACCAGTAGCACTATGATATGTTTCACACGAACGCCAAACTCTTAGAAAACTCTCCGTCTCTCCCCCCCAGCAATCTGACTCCGTCGGTTCCTTTTCAAAAGATGCTGACTTCTCCCAGCACCAACCACAGCGCACGCACGCAGCACGTCCAATTAGGGCGGGGTAACCTGGAAACAGGAACGGGACAGGACGAGAGAGGGAAAAAGAGAGACACACCCACACAGTAGCACAGAAACAACCCAATACGCACTTGCGTAACACCCCCATCCACAAGAGTCAAATTAATTTTGACGATATCACTAAACTGAATAAGCACGTGAAAGAGCATCTGCAACAATGTTTTCGGATCCTTTTTTATGATGTATCTCAAGATTAAATTCTTGAACTACAAGTGCCCACCTCATTAACCTCTGATTGGAGTTATACATCCGCGTGAGAAAAACAAGGGGATTATGGTCGGTATACACCATCACAGGATCAGAACTACCTCCAACATACACCTCGAAATGCTGCAACGCCAGAAGTAATGCCAGTGCCTCCTTTTCAATAGTGCTGTACTGTCTCTGAGCTCTGGAAAACTTCCTGGAGAAATAGCATATCGGATGGTTAATGCCAAGTTTACTCTCCTGAGTCAAAACAGCTCCACAACCTACTCCACTTGCATCAATTTCAAGTTGAAAAGGACGCGTAAAATCAGGTGCTGAAAGTACAGGCGCACTACACAGGAGATCTTTAACTGCACCAAAAGCATGATCACACTCAGAGTTCCACTTAAACTCTCTATTTGTGCTCAACAGATCAGTCAACGGGGATACTATGGTGGAGAAATTCCTGCAGAAAGCCCTATAGTACCCGATCATCCCTAAAAAACGTCGCAACTCGCGCTTCGTTTTAGGCACAGGAAATTCCCTAATCGCTTCAACTTTAGCGTTAACAGGGCGCACTTGCCCCTGACCCACCTGCTTGCCAAGGTAAGTAATCACTGCCTTACCAAATTCGCACTTAGCTAGATTTACTGTTAAAGAAGCTTTGGCAAGCCGTGAAAACACTTCACGCAAGGTGTTAATGTGACTAGGCCATGAATTTGAATAAATGACTACGTCATCCAAATAAGCCTCGCAATTTGTCACACCAGACAATATTCTCTGCATGAGACGTTGGAAGGTGGCTGGAGCGTTTCGCATCCCGAAAGCCATGACTGTATATTGCAGGAAGTTATCCGGTGTCACAAATGCAGAGACGTCAGAGGCGCGTGCACTAAGCGGCACTTGCCAATAGCCCTTCAATAAATCTAGTTTAGTGACATAGCTAGCAGCACCCACACGATCAATGCAATCTTCTATCCTAGGAAGAGGAAAAGAATCTGGTTTCGTAACACTGTTCAGTTTGCGATAGTCTGTGCAAAACCTGAATGTGCCGTCTGTCTTTGGCACCAAAAGACAGGGCGAGCTCCACGGGCTTGAACTTGGTACTGCAAGGCCATTCTGCAACAGGTACTCCACCTCTTTTTTCATCTCCTCTCTCTTC